CCCCACCCCCACAGAGGCCAGAAGGATGTTGGATCTCCTGGAGCCAGAGTTACAGGTAGCTGTGAGCCAATGTGGATGCTAGGAAGAGCACTCTCCAGCCCCCACCAATCTATTCTTGTGGACTAGTATTTTAATGTTAAAACGCTATAATCAGGGTCTGGGTAGACAGCTCATTGGGTAAGAGCACTTGCTGCATAAGCATAAGGACCTGAGTTCAGATTCCCAGCAGCCAGGCAAAAGCAGAGCATGGTCTAGTGCCTGTAACCCTAGCACTGGGAGAGTTGTGGGGGAGAAAGGGGGCTTACTGAGGCTTGTTAACCAGCCAGTTTAGCCATAAAATGCCAAGTTCTAGGTTCAGTGAGAGATCAATCCTGTCTCAGAAGAATAAGGTAGAGAGTGATGAAGCAGGGCATTTGATAGCATATGGGTGTATGCCTATGGCATGCATGTGCACACACATACACATACATGCATACGCCACACACATATATATTAAAAAATGCTATAAACAGGCCACTGAAGGCCTAGATGAGAACAAAAGGCCCATTATAGCACAAATTTTTGATATTCTACCAAGTTGGTCCCAGGGAAAGAACTCAGGTTCTCAGACTTGGTAGCAGGCAGCTTTACTTGCTAAGCCATCTCACCTGCCCCCCATGGATTCTGAGCAGTGGCCTTTGGAAGAAGGCACATTAACACTATTTTTATAAGTTCTTTTTAAAAAACTTTAATTAAAAATTTTTATTTTATGAGTGTTTTGCCTGCATGTAAGTGCAACTATGCATGCAAGCCAGAAGAGGGCATTGGATCCCTTGGAACTGGCATTATGGGTGATTGTTAGCTGCCATGTGGGTGTTAGGAATGAACCCGGGTCTTCTGAAAGAGCAGCTAGTGCTCTTAACCACTGAGCCATCTCTCCACCCTCCTTTAAGTTCTTTTAACATGTTTATTTTTATGTGTATGAGTGTTTTGCTTGAATGTACAAGTGCCCTTGTGTATTTAGTGCCCTTGGATGTTGGGAAGGATGCATGATCTTGGATGAATGAGATACTAGGGATGAAAAGACTGGATGGTCTGTGAAGATTAAGGCTGGGGCCGAACTTGAACTTGTACTTCCTAACGAAGTGGGAGAAAGCATTTTGAATAAATTATGGGTGTGGCGTGATGGGGGCAGGGGCGAGCCAAGGATGACACAGTGGGAGAAACAAGGCCCCAGAGTTAGTTCCATTGGCACAGGGTGAGGACACAGATACTCCATCTGCACAAGCTGGGGGGACAAGACAGATCCATCAGCACAGTTCTGGGAGACAGACGGTTCTAATAGGTGGCAAGGGGAACTAGTGTCCTCAAAGTTCCAACCCGCTCTTAAAAACTTAATTGAAGAGTCAGTCTTTGTTCAGGTGACTACGATGTTGGTGTAATAATAACTGTCGCAGTAGGAGAAACCTTATACCATTAGCAAGGAAATGAGGACTAGCTACAATTTGTAGTCTGAATCTTTTTGGTGGTTTTGGCTCTCCCAGCTTCACCAACACTTGTCCAGAAGGGGGATGTTTCAGTTTGGAGGAAACCGCTACACAATTCCTATCAGTGAACTCTGGAGGAAGAAAGGGACAGTGACTTTCCATCCTGAGGAAACTGAGGCTCAGTGTTGTGTAAGCAGCCAAAGATTTACCTCTTTTGTGGCAGACTGGGGTCTAGAACTGTATGAATCAGCTTTATTCAACACTATGAAAAACATGAGAAAAAGTTTTAAAAGAACTTATTTTGGCTCTCAGCTTTTGGCTCGGAGGAGGCTTAGGTGCAACTTTCTTGATCGTCCTGAATCCAGGGTCATCCAACATCAGCCGCCTTCATCATGCCACCCAAATTCTACCCCAACGAGATCAAAGTCCTCGATCTGAGGTGCACTGGAGGCGAAGTTGGCGCCACGTCTGCCTTGGCCCCCAAGATTGGGCCCCTGAGTCTGTCTCCAAAAAAGGTTGGTGATGACATTGCCAAGGAATGTCAAACCAGGGATTGAAAAGATTTGAGGATTACAGTGAAACTGACATTCAGAATAGACAGGCCCAGATTGAGGTTGTACCTTCTGCCTCTGCCCTGATCCTCAAAGCCCTCAGGGAGCCACCAAGAGACAGAAAGAAGCAGAAAAACATTAAGCACAGTGGAAACATTAGTTTTGATAAGACTGTCAACATTACCTGACAGATGAGGCACCAGTCCTTAACCAGAGAACTTTCTGGAACTATTACTGAGATCCTAGGTACTGCACAATCTGTGGGCTGCAATGTGGATGGCCACCACCCTCATGACATCATAGATGACATCAACAGTGGTGCAGTGGAATGCTCAGCTAATTAAGCAAGAGAAACTATTTCAACAAAAGATTATCTGACCAAAAAAAAAAAAAAACACAAACTTATTTTGGCTCATGGTTTCAGAGGTTAGAGACCAGGTACTTTGAGGCTGAGTTGAAGCAGAACATGAAGGAAATGGGAACCTGTGGCAGAGGAGGCTGCTCAGCTGGGTCTAGTCAGGAAGCAAAGAACAAGGAAGGAAAGGTTAGAAGCAAAATAAACCCTTCCTCCAATCAGGCTCTACCACCTAGTTTCCATCACATCCCAGTAATACTGTTTATGACTCCATCAAGGATTCAATCAATTAATAGGTCACAGCCCCCATGGTACAGTCACCTCTTACTGTTGTCCATAGCCCGGTAAGCTGACTGCTGAATTACAGAGATTCAAGAGTTTAATTCATGAGGCAGTCTAGCTTAAAGGGAGCTCCTAGAGTCAAATCTGCCTCCTAAGAACAGAATTTAGTGGATGTAACTGGAATGATATTGAGCTACTTAACAGTACTTAGACAAATATTGTTTTCTCATTTGGGGATTCTGGATTTTATATGGTCACATAAAATCATGTTTGTGTATGTAAAATTAAAGTAGAAGTGAAATTGCCTAGGGGAACAAAGGGGGCAACTGGAGGGGGAGGGGCAAGGAGGAGAATAAGGGGATGTGAGTGAACTATGCTGAACACATAATTTACACCTGCACAAAAAAATTTAGAGAATAAAACAAAAATTTTAAAAGTTAGGTTTACAGGATTTATGGGATGAAAAAAACAAGGTCTGAGGGGAAGGGGAAGGTGACTGGAGGTAAGCACAGAACAACTCAGTGGTCTGAGTGTGTACAAACAATGCTCATGGCTCTTCAACAGGATGCACATTCAGAAAATGGCAACATTAGTGTGAGCAGAAGGAAGAGGTTTTGGTCTCTGACATCAAAAGTAGTCATGGCACATTTTTTGTAGGTCTAAGTGAGGTTCTGGTTTCAATGAGTTTGAGCCATACTTTATCCAAATCCTTTAAAATAAGTAACTTAAAAGAAATTATTATAAAGGTGACTGTGCATCAAGTGTGTCATATGCTATAATTTAAATGTTTGGGGGTTTTAAAAAGAAATTTTATTTATTTCTTTTTTAGACAAGGGTCTCACTATGTAGCTCTGGCTGGCCTGGAGCTCTCTATGGAGAGTTCAATGCCAGCCTGCACTACCTGAGAGCCTGTCTCATAAAGAAAAAACAAAAAAAAAAACCAAAATATCATTATGGGAATGTGGTTACTGGAAATGCCTTTCACTAGCCCAGCAAGCAGAACTCCAGTGAGAATCAGGGGGCCTCTGATTTGGCATAGTTTATTGCAATTAGTATACACATAAAACCATGTAAACGCCACAAAGTGATGGTTTATCCCCCATTATAACCAAGAGTGTCTGCCATGACCTTCCAGCACCTTATTTTAACAGATATATTTCACAGAAAGTGAAAATCACACAAATAGGGTTATAATACATATTTTAAAGAAAAGACTTTTTTTTGGTCCATATTTTCTATTAACAAACAAGACGTACTTTTTCCTCTTTGGCAAAAGAGGTTAGCTCCCCCACAGTTAATTCACAAAACAAACTCAGAAAACAAGAACAAAACAAAAACTTCCACTGAACATGAAGTACAGCTGAGGTCTGGGCTACTTTGGAAATAGAGACACATATTCTGGAGAAAACTGCTTTTCACATAACCATCTTAGTAGAAAAGTTCTATTTAGTTTCTCTCTGCCCTGGACACTTTTGTAAGATACATTTCAGATGTTTGTTTTTCAGGGGATAATCGAAGTCACTAATACGCACCTATTTCTGAAAAAAATTGTGACAAGTGTGGGTTTCTGAGTTCAGCAATATTTTTAATCTGGCCAAGTACAGAAACACCTGGCTGTCTCTCAGGCTACAATTGCTACGGCTACCTTCATTACAAGTTGAGAGAGCAGTTTGGATAGTCTATGAGTCTCAACATTTGGGTCTGCAGACTGGAAAGGCAGATTTGGACACAATACCGCATAATACTAGCCAGGCTCACAATGAGGAGGAAGCAAGGCAGGTTTGTTAGAACTCACCTTCCCTCGGGCCTAGTGCAAATGAGTCCCCAGCAAGCCCCAGGAGGAAAGGCCAACCTGACTCCTCTCCAGCAGTATAAGGAAGCAGGGAGCTGCTGCGGTGCTTGTTGAATTCGCAACTAACCATCCCTGTGTGCTTTTCATATTTCAAGTAATTTCATTTCTTCCAGGAAAAAGGATGTTAAAAATGCTTTTCGTTTATCAAAAAGGAAATGAGTCACCATAACAAGGTAGGGTTTTAAACAGACCTGCTGCTGACACAGTATCAGATACTCAAACATAGCAGGAAAAATGATGTGCTACCTACATCTTTACAAAAGCTGCATTTTTCACCTAACCCCCGTGAAGAACTATTATTTGACAAAGGTTACTTTAATTCCTGTTAAATATGACTATACAAATTGCACATTTTACACCACAGCAGCTCACTATCACAGTTAGAGAAATAACAATTCTCATTTTTCTAGCCTAACAGAAACCACCCAGCTCTGCGGGAACAGTCAGAACAAAACTAGCTGCACAGTTCTGTAAACAGTGATGAGGTTATCTCTAGGATCCTGAAGAGCCACGCACACACATGCTCACACACAACTTCTTCAGTGACTTGCTGCAGCACACGCTCAGTATTGCAGCAGCTTTCTTTCACTTTGTGTTCACAAAAGAGCAGTCATAGCCGTCTGGTTGAGGGGTGCAAGGCCCTTTCTGGGTGCTGAATAACCATCATTTACCCCGGGAGTCACCTGTGGCTTTGGAGAGGTGGGGTCCGTGGCCTCGGTGGCCAAGAAGCTGTTGGTAGCTGGCTGGTCATAGTCACCTTCTGCAGGCTTGGGGCTTGGTGGCCTCTGATAGTCTCCACTCTGGGTGGCCCCTGCAGCAGGGAGGAAGCCTCCAGAGGAAAGGGAGTGTTTGTGAGTGAGCCCTGGCCCTGGGACTCGGTAGCCCCTCTGCGTTGAGAAGGTGTGGGCTCGTAGCAGATGCCGCTCCACGATGGGTGTGGCATACTCAGGCTCTGGGTGGGTCAAGGGCAGTGCGTACTCATGGCGACCCGCATGGTGAGGACAATCATAGTGGCCACTGGCCTCAGTGATCGTCTGGGCCTCTTCAGTGTCTGTATCCATGGGCCGGAAGGTAGAGCCCTTCCTAGTGACTGTCCCAGTGCCAATCATGAGAGGTTGCTGGTAATCTGAAACCAAACCAGCATCATTAGTGCACTACCTTACCCAAGGTCACCCTGAAGGCCAGCTGAAGGATGCTTTCCCCTCCACTCAACTCCTCACTGAGTGCCTAATGTGTCATAGGCTTTATGGGAAGTATGAAATGCATGCCATAGATGTTACAGCTAGGGACTAAACCATACCAGCTGCTTCAGGAAGCTGCACTGGGCCACAAGATGCTAGAGAAAGGAGACAGGTTGAACAGTGGTGGGGTAGGGGAAAAACACTTCCAAGGGGACAGACATACATTTATCTATAAAGGTAGGTAGGGTCTTGCTATGTAACCCCCCCTCAGATTTGAGCTTGTGATCCTCCTGCCTCAACTTCCCCTGTACTGGAATTACAGTCATGAACCTTCATGCCAGCTTAGGAGTGACATTCATTCATTCATTCGAGACAGGATCTCATTAGCCCAGGCTAGCCTTTAACTTATTATATAGTGGCCGACCTTGAACTCAGGGTCCTCCTGTGCCACCTCCCAAGTACTGGTATTTATTTATAGGCCCAGATAGGAGGTTTTATTTATTTATTTAATTTATATTTTATGTGTCTGTTTTACCTACATGCATGTTAAATGCACCATGTGTGTAGAATGGCCCAGGAGGCCAGAAAAGGGCATCAGATCCCCTGGAACTAGAGTTAAAGGTGGTTGTTAGCCACTATCTAGGTACTGAGAGCCAAATCTGGACCTCTGCAAGAGTAGCTAGTGCTCTTAACCACTGAGGCATCTCTCCAGCCCCAGGAGTGACTTTTAAATTGGTTCTTAAGATGTTAAAGTTTGGAAATAGAAATAACACTGAGAAAAAAGAGGAGGAAAACAGATATGAAGACAATTTGACACGGCAAAAGAATCAGGGGCATGGTGTAGTTTGTTTAGTAAGATTAAAGCACTAGGTCTGGGGCTAGTGATAAGGTCAGGATAATGAAAGAGCTCTCTGTGCAAACACTACTGTAAGACAGTAAGATATTTCAAATCTTCTTAGAAATCTCATGAGGTAGGACTGTTACTCCATTTATAATGGGAAACGGAAGCAGAAGGAGACCAAGAAACTTTCCATACATCACACAGCTGGCAATGGAGTCAGGACTTTCATCTATAATGCCAGTGTGTGCTGTGTTAACCATTTGTAGATCACAGCGGGCTTGCTAGGAAGTTTGGCTGAATTTCTAAAAAAACCTTCACACTGGCACAGTCTGAGGTAACTTTAGGGGCAGGCTGAAGAAGAGGAAGTACAACTGGCGGAGACGACATACCGATGGCTTCTTGGGGACACTGAGGCCACTGTGATGCTCACAAGTCCCTTCATCTATCTTTTCTTCCTCCTCAACGGCAGGAATTAAATTCAATCCATCATTTAATTTGTCTTTCTTGTCCCTCTTTCCCAATACTTTAATCAAAACCTTGATAGTAAAAATAGATTCAGGGCTTTCTGTGACTAGTGGTACTGCAGGCCCATAACTATTAATGCCATCATGTACCCTGCAGTGCAAGCGACTCAGCTGAAGAAGACCTCCAGTAGTATCTCAGTGTCAGTTTGAAACTGTGCAGAGCATAGGGAAAAAAAAAAGACTTCTGGTTTAATAAAGAGTTTTAGCCTTTTTTCCCTCCTATCTCCTGTACCCCACAAGCAGAACCTCCTAAGGGCACTGTCCCTGGGGCGTGATGCTTACCTGACATATCACTGGTGATGAGATCTAACTTTTGTGTCATCTCCTTTTCATTGTCATAGCTGATGGTAAACTCAGTTGACTGATGCCTGGCAAATGGATATTTAATCTGCTTCCAGCAGCCTGAAATAGAGAGAACATGAAGCAAACACACCAGACACGTAATGCATATACTCTATGCATGTTCCCCGATGGGTCCGAGGTCAGTTGTCTCTTGCAGGTTGATGGTGTCAACCTGCCATCACTGCCAGAGCTCCTCAGATGTGTGTGCTGAGAACAGCATGCTGAGGCCACTTAGCAACCATGGCAAGCACTACAATAGGCACGTTTCCCACTGATCACTGAAAATGTATTTGTAACTACCAAGCCTTGGACCATTCCTCTGTGAACCATCTGGGCACATAAAACATAGCTGTTGCTTAGATCCAGCATCTTCAGGCCTCTACTGTATTTTCTGGGAAATCAAGAAAAGGGCCAGGCAGGGATCATGTGTTTATTTTGGAGAATCCCTAAGACATAGGTCAGGTGAGTGTTGTGGTAACACCTGTAACCTCAGCACTAAGGAGGGCAAGACAGGAGGATTGCTGGGATCTCAGGGCCAGCCTGGGTTACATAGTAAGGTAAAGGCCAGCCTGGGCCACACACTCTTTTAGACACTGTTTTAACAAAAACAGTCAACCAAAGAAAGAAAAAGCAGACAGAAGCAGTGAGTTATCTGTGGACTATAGAAAGATTGGAAGATATGTTTCTGTGTCCTGTAACCCTGGCTACTCAGGAGGCTGAGGCAGAAAGATCAAAAACAAGTTCAAGGCCCACCTGAGTTACAGAGTAAGTTTAAGATTAGCCTGGAGTACTTGCCCAACATAGTTCAATCCTTGGTTGTGTAAAAAATAGGTCTGAAGATGTTGAAGTGAATTGCTTTATAAAATTGTTGTGATTATTATTGTGGGGTGTGTGTGTGTGTGTGTGTGTGTGTGTGTATGTGTGTGTGTAATGTGTGCGTGACTGTGGGCAGGTACATGCCATGGTACGCATGTAGAGGTCAGAGGACAACTTTCATGAGTCAGTTCCCTTCTACTTTTATGTGGGTTCTGGGATCAAACTGACCAACCACCTTGTGTAGCAAGTACTTTACCTGCTGAGCCACCTCACCAGCCATGGATGTATTTATTTATTTTACTGTGGTTCTAAGAATGGAACCCTGGAATTGGCACATGCTAAGCATATGTTCAGTTCACTGACAGGGGTGTTGTAACTTCTCCTTACTGACTGACAGTGTAGTAACCCAATTTTCAGTGGCAAACAAATAAAAAGAAAAAGAAAAAAGGTGAAAAGGGATGGAGCTCATGCTAAATATAAATGAGGTGGCCTGAAAGCTCTGAATTAAAATACAAAGACTAGACACAGTAAATTCTTTTGTTGTAGCTTTGCTAACTCAAAGGCATAAAGTTCAACTTAAAAAAAAAAACCTGCAGTTTTTTTCCTTCCAAAGCAAAGGAACAATGGTCAAAAATATGAAATGGAAAGATTCCAGAAATGAGCAATTGATGTTTTAACATGCATGCTGCTCTGAGAAGTGTGACGAAGTCCTGCCTAGAAGGTGAAGCATCTTCTTGTCTAGTTTATCCACTCTCTAGATACTACCCTCCTGTTAGTCTTCACTGTCAACTTGAGAGAATCTAGAATCGCCCCTAGGCAATGTCTGTGGGGATTATCTTGACTGCATTCCTTGAGGCAAGAAGACCCTGGGGTGGGGTCCTGACTGGGATCCTGAAGTGTAAAGTGTAAGGGAGGAAGAAGAACAATCAGTATGATGCATCCTGATTCTAGATGCAATGAAATCAGTTGCTTCAAGCTCCTGCTACCTTGACTTCCCTACCATGATGGACAGTGACCTTGAATTGGCAGACCTTATCCTTTTCCTTAAAGACAGAATAAAACTAGAGATGAAGTTTTTAACCAACCTGTTTTCTGAGCTGATACATATGGATTTCCTTTCTTCTTTTTCCTATCAAGACAAAAAGACCTACTAAATATTTATAAACCAATTTGTCTCCTTGTATAATATGAAGATCACAACAGTACTTACCTTATATGCTGTTCTGAGCTATAAGTTGTCATGTGCTTATAAAGGTATGTGTACATACAGGATTATATGTAAATTTATCTCATAATTAAGGTCACTATATATATATATATATAGACACATATATATATATATGACCTTATATATATGTATTTGGTCTTTTTGAGACAGGGTCTCCCTGTAGCCCCAG